CTGTACGAACGACTGCCCGCGGCCCGAAGGAAGTGCTGGGCCCCTGCTTCTGTCTCTGCAGCCGAGGGCGAGTCTTTAAGGAGCTGTTTTCTATGGAGCTTCCTCTCTGCCCGGCAGCATGGTGGAAGTGGGCACTGGAGCCGGTGCCCGTGCAGTGAGGCTGGCATTAAAGTCCCGTTGGTGGGGGTGCACGCCCACTTAGTCACTGGGTGGCCACATCTTGGGTCCCAGAGGGTGCCGTGTGTTGTTAGCGCCTGTGGACCAGAGCTCTGCTCTTGCCCTCCGTCTGCACCTTCATTCTGGCCTCGTCATCTGAACCCTGGCTTCCTGCTCCGAGGGACCCCGCCCCGCAGGTGCAGCCGGTACCGTGCGCCAACCTCTCGGCCGCCTGTGAGGACAAATGGGATGAGACTGCGCCTTGTGAATCCTATCAGAGGGTTGTCTTCATCAGTGGGACATTGAGGACCTGGAAAATGGGGTGGCCTGGTGGCCTCAGGACATTGGGAGCCGTCCCCTCCACCAGTTAGCTGCGAGTCACCCACCTGGACGGTCTGGACTGTGCCGGTGGCAGCAGCTCACCCTGCCCGCCATGTGAGCCGTAGGTCCCCTCGCCAGCAGGGCACAGCGCTCTCCTGGTCCCTGTGTTTGCCGAGCTCGCCGTGTGGGAAGGCAGCCCGGGAGACGTGGGGCGGAGTCATGGTAAGGGCAGCACTGTCGGCCTCCCGGAGCTGAGAGAGCATCAACTGAAACAATATTTATTTAAGTTACATACTGTTAAATCTATTCAGTATATGAAATAGTATTTAAAATTGAACATAATTTTCTGTTTTGAGAAAACCAAGCAGAAGACAGGGCCTCATAGCTCCTGTTGCTGCCGTTATAGAAAGCTGGCCAGGACGTAAAAGCGGCTCGCTGACGCCACTGGAGAGTGCCAGAAACTAGAAGGGAACAGTGTTAGGCGAGGCCCCAGCATTTCACAGCCTTTAGCCTGAAGGTGGGCCGTGTTTGATGCCATACAGGGCAGCTAAAAACGCTTGATACCTGCACTTTCACTGGGAGAACCCAGGGACAGCATCCAGGCCAGAGCTTGAGCCAGGGGCCTCCCAAATTCTGTGTCGTCTCTTCTCAGGTCTCTGCTCATGCTTAAAGCATGCAGCCGCGGGCCGAGTGTCAAGCAGCGCAGCTAAGGCTGACGGAACGTAACGGAGATCTGCTGCCTCCTGTTTCAGGGGAGGGTTTCGAGCCTGACTGCAGCCAAGCTAACTGTGGGTTGAAATAAAGGCATCACTGCCCAGAAAGGGGACATAGCAGAATGTAGAGTGTCTGCAGCCTCGTGTCCATAACGTCTGCATCCAGGGCTCTCGGGACGTGAAGACGTGACCCGCAGTCCAGAGAAGAGGCCGCAGTGGAGACCGGCCCCAGCATCGGGCACTCGTGATGGGCCCCTTGGCCGGTGCAGGAAGTGTGAGCGAGGACATAAGGAAAACGTGTCCCTAGCAGGAAGTAGGAAAGCTCCGCAGAGCAGCAGAAACTGTTAAAGAAGAAGAGGGAAAAGAAGAACCAACTGGAAATTCTAGAACTGAAAAATGCAGCATCTGGGAAAATTCAGAGGGGGTTGGGGAGGACAGAAGGAAGGCGCTGCGCACGACAGGCTCCGTCGACATCCGTGACTCACGACGGAGAACAGAGAGGAGGAAGACCCGGAATAGAAGCCAGCAGCCTTGGGAAGCGCCGGGTCTGAGACACGTGGTTGGGGTCCCCGAAGAGAGGAGCGGGGTGGGGGGGTGGGGGGCACGACAGGCAGAGAAAACAACTGAAGATTTCCCAGAGTGGCGAAAGTTCAAGGTCCAGGTTCACGGAGCTCCGCGCACTGCGAGCAAGAAGTGTAAAGAAAACCTTGCTCTAGGCTTATCGGATCCAAGTGCTAAGAACCAACAAAAAGAACATGTTGAAGGCACCCGAGGAAGGGCATTCTGTGTGCACAGCACATGAGGTGACCCAGCCTCTGCAGAAACTGGGGTGACCTCTTCCAAGTTTGGGGGCGGGGACTTAACCCAGAACTCTTTATCCACCCAAAACATCCTTAAAGAATGAAAGTGAAACAATGAGATTTTAGTTAAAATAAAAGGATTTGTCATTAGCAGATTTCTGTAAAATGTGAATAACCCAAAAACCGTCCATCAGACAGAAGGGAGTGGCACCGTGTGAATACTCAGGTCTTTGGGAAGGAAGGAAAAAGACTAGAAATGATTAAACGGGAGGTAAACATAAAAGAGGAATTTTCGTTTTAATTCTCTTAAAATCTGCATGACTGCTGAAGCACAGCCGCAGCCCAGACCGGGGTTTGCAGTGTCTGCGGACGTGGCGCGTGTACCGCCCGTGGTGTGAAGGGGCGTGGGGCCGGCACAGAGGCGCGTGCAGTGCTGCTACGGTTGTGCTGCGCAGACATCCCCAGACCGGGAGAGCGGTGGCAGGGACTGTGCACACTGTGCTGCGGGGCCGGCATGTACAGCATTCAGTTCACTTCACCGGAAGTAGGCAGAAGGGGGACCGGCAGAAAGCAAGTAGTAGTGTGGCCGCCGTGGCAGCAGCCGTGTAAGGACTCTCACTACGTGTTAAGTGGACATAACGCTGCAGTGAGAAGGGACCAGCAGAGCAGGGGGAGAGGTGCCGACGTGCTGTCTTAGAGCAGCGCAGTATTGCTTTTGAGAGCAAGCAAGAGCAGGGGAGGGGCAGAGAGAGGCGGGCAGAGCATCTGAAGAAGGCTCTGGCTGAGAACAGCGAGCCCCATGCAGGCCTCAAACTCACAACCGCGAGATTGTGACCTGAGCTGAAGTTGGTCCCTTAACCACTGAGCCCCCAGGCACCCCAGGAGCAGCACTCTTAGCATAGGCCCCGGGTGGGCTGAGAATGGATGGATCGAGGTCCGTGGCACAAGCAGAAGCCTGGTCGGGGGGGTGAGCGTGGTGACAGCAGGTGGACTGGACGTCAGGAGTGGGATGGAGTGCCTGTGGCCAGGGCCGTGCTGCCCGAGTCCATGGGCGAGGCACTCTTCATCCCCCTGGAGAGCGAGGGCTTGGAAGGGTCTGGAATCACAGGGCAGGTGCAGGCCTGGCAGGCGAGGGCCCTCCGTGGGGTAACGGGCTGGCCCAGGGATGGGTTAGCAGAGGGTCGGTGGGTGGGCTCGACCAGTTGGCCCCACACGTGCATTTGGTGCAGTTCCACAGGCACGTGCTCCCGGGGGGTCCCGCAAACGCTCTCAGGATGTACGGTCTTTTGGGAGAGCATACAGGTGGCTCAGCAGGTGTGGAGCTTGGCAAGGGTGTGCCCAGGCCTCTAGGGGGTGAGACTGCAGGCGGTGTGCAGAAACCGAGCGCTGTGAGTGTCTGAGGCAGCAGCATGGCTGGGCTGCGGGCAGGAGGCCAGGCGTGGCAGGTCAGTCGGCGTGTGCGTGCGGGGACTTGCGAGGAGCCGCGTGTGCAGGCAGTCGGGGTCTGTTCGGGGTAGCCGGCTTGACAGTCCGCGAGGCTTGACATCCGTGAGGATGCTTCCCGCCTCGTGAAACGCCAGCTGTGTCATACACGCTGAGTGGTGGTGGCGGCCGTCCTTTCTGTGCACAACACGCTCCTGCACGTGGGCACTGGGGCAGCCCGGGTGGCTCTTGCTGTCCCCGCTGGCGCGGAGAGGCGAGGCCCCAGCCTGCCGAGAAACCGCGGTGCCACCCGAATGCGCCGGCCTGCTTCCCGTTTCCGAAGCAGCAGGCGCCCGCTCTGCTCACTTGGACCAGGAACACGACTCACGCTTCCTATGGCTCTAGGGGGTGAAGGTGGAGCAGATGGGTGGAGCGCAGGCTGCGTGCGGGCACGTGGGTGATGGGGACGCCGCTCCGTCCGCCAGAGGGGCCTGGCTCCCAGTTGTGCACCCCGGCGCCCCACCTCCCGGCGCCTGGGGCGGGGATCGCCAGCATGCCCAAGCCCCTTCCTTTCTCTAAGTCAGCTTCCCACTGAAGCAGGACCCGGAGAGGTGCGTGACGGAAGTCTCAGCGGGGTGACCCCTACCCAGATCTGGAACAGAACAGACAACCCCCGAAGCCCCTGCCCTTCCCGAGGGCGACCGCCACCCTGGCCTATGCCAGTAGAGACTTCCTTTAGCCACTGTGGACCCTGCGGCTGGCATGTGCGGGGCTCGTGCTTCCCTGCCCCCCCTGCCCCCCCGCTCCCGTGCGGGGCTCCACTGTACCAGCGTGCCGTCCACTGGCGATAGCCTCCGGTCTGTGCAAAGTGGGGGAGGTTCCTGTTTTCTCACTGTGTGACCCAGGGCGCATTACCTAACCACTCTGGGCTTTAGGCTCCCCACCTGGGAAATGGGCACAACAGTCCCCACCTTCCTGGGCAGGTAGGAGGGTTCCATGAGAGGGGAGAGCAAGTGCCAAGTAGAACAGCTTTGCTCCAGCTCAACCTGAGCTGACGCTTCCCCTCTCATTGGCCCCTTAGTGGCCTCACAGGAGCCCACCGCTGGGGTCGTGTAGTGCGGCAGTGGGGACTCTGGTGATAGGTTTTGGCTGGCGAGGCCCAGAGAGGCAGAGGTGGGTCCTTGCTGCCCTGGAGCCATGTTCCCTGTGTCTTCGTTCTGGGGTGATGGGGGCCTGGTGTGCAGGGCCTGTGAGGCGGCATCGAGCAGCACTGGCGGCATGAGCGGGCTCATGGGTGCCTGCCCCCCCCCCCCCCGCCCCCGCCCCCAATGTGTGCACGGCCGGTCCCAGTTCTGCTTGCCGCACTCCATGCTGGGCTGCCGTGTGCACCTGCACGGGTCCCGGCTCCCGGGGCGTCTGCTCGGGTGCAGGCCTCTGCCTACCTGACGTTTCCAGTTGGGATTCAGCTTAGTTCAGGTCTGCCTGCCTCAGACATGGGCAGTTCCACGAGGGGTCTCTGCCAGGCCGGGGCGTGCGTGCGTGTGTGTGTGTGTGCGCGCCTGTGACAGCCTGCCACGTGTCTGTGCAGGCCTTCCGGAGCAGTACTACAGCCTCACCTGGTTCCTGAGCCCCATCCTTGGCCTCATCTTCACACCCGTCATCGGCTCCGCCAGCGACCGGTGCACCCTGAGCTGGGGCCGCCGGCGGCCTTTCATCCTGGTCCTGTGCATCGGCGTGCTCTTGGGCGTGGCGCTGTTCCTGAATGGCTCTGCCATCGGTGAGTGTCCCTCTGCCCTGCCGCGCGCCCTCCTGCGGCCCACGGCGTGGCCGGCGTGGCCATCGGCGAGCTGGCAGGGCGCCTCCGGGCCCGGGCGGGAGCGGGCCCCACGTGGGAAAGCCGTGGGAACCTGTTCACAGGGAAGCACTTCCTGTTGTGACCCACTTGTTTTCCGTGCGTATCTGACACCGCGTCCTGTTTCCAGCATTATTTCAGAAATTATCTCTTCTTGTTTTGTCCTTTTCTCAGGCTTGGTATTGAAAATGTCCAGACCCAGCTCACTACTTGTTTTTCTATTTCGGGTACTCATGTTTTGTTCTGCCTTTTTTCTTGTTGTTTTGTTTTTAATTAAAGCAGCTCTATGTGGGAAAATAGTTTTTGCCCTGAGGGAGCCCATCAAAACTGTTAAAAACAAAACCTTGTTTTCTGGCAATGACTCTTGAAGACGGAGGCCTCCTCTGCGTCCTGACAGCCGCAAGCTTGGCGCAGGTCTGCAGAAGGAAGTCCTTGACGTCGGAACGCTCACAGAGGCCTGGGAAGCCTTCTGGGCTGGCGAGAGCTGCGCTGTTTCTCCGAGGCTGTGTGGGGACAGGCCGGGGACAGGAGGGGCCACCGCGCCAGGCACAGCATGTGCTTCCCTGAGCGGCACCCAGCCACCTGGTGCTGGGTGGCCTTCTCCAGCCGGAGGCCTGGGCTGCTCTGCCGTCAGCTGTGGCCTGGGGCTGCGGGCTGTCCCCTTCCGCCTGTAGAGCGCATGTCCCTCCTCACGTCTCCCCAGAGGGAAAGTGATGGCACCCTCCGAAGCTGGGTCTGTGGGGCGGTCTTGCTAGAATGTGGTGGCGCAGAGACTCGGGATCCGGCCCCCCACCCCGTCACTTGCCGTGACATGTTTGTCCCGGGCGTCTTTTCCTGTGCAGCCAGCTTGTCTGTGGCTGCAGCTCAGGGGCTCCTGGGCCCCAGGCATGTGCCCTGTGTCCCACATCCTCGGGCACAGGGTGCCAGCCAGTCTCTGGGGTCAGGGCAGACTCCCCCAAGGCAGGTGGGATGCAAGGTGTGAATGTAGCTTCCTCTGGCGGCTTCCAGCTTGCTCAGGGAAGGGCTGTGCTGGAAGTGAGGTTGTGTGCGCTGCTTCTCAGGGCTGCCCCGAGAAAGCGCCTGCCTGGGGGGTGGGGAGGGAGGGGGTGATGAGTGCCTCGCCATCCACCACCGGCATGCAGGACGGCTAGCCTGTCTGCTGGGGTGCCTGGGGCCAGTCTGACCTTCGAAACAACATCCGCAGTGGCGTTCAAGGCTTAATTTTCTTACGGCAAGTTGGAAGGTCACCGTGCTTCCCACGTGGCGTGAGGGGGACAGGCTCCAACCGTCCTCCTGTGTGCGAAGCCACAGCGATGCTTGAGGAGCCGCGTGCGGACGCCAGGGGGGCTGGCCACGCCTTCCAGGAGTGCTCAAGGAGCGCCCCCGCGGGCCTGGGCCGGGCGGGAGGGTGGGTGCACATGCGCACCATGAGGCCGTGGCCCGGGCGCCGACCCTGAACACAGTGTGCGCACGCAGGTGTGTGACGGTGTGTCACAGTGATGCTCAGTTAGTGCTCCCAGCGTGGCCCTCCTTTGCCAGAGAAGGTGGGTAGGAGGGACCGTTTTCCGTTCAGCCACAAACGTGAAGGTAGGTAAGCTCTCCCAGGTCCGCTGGACGGCTAGTGTGACCGGGGAGGAGACGCACAAACACAGCCCACCTTCTGTACTGAAAGTCTGTGCTGAGAGACACGCCTCCTCCGGCCGAGCGAGAATGTCACCATCTCCTCTTGGAGGTGACTGCTCTGAGGAGCTGAGATCTGCCCGCCCCCTGTGTGTTCCGTCAGGTCTGTCCCTCGGTGATGTCCCCAACCGGCAGCCCGTCGGCATCGTCCTCACAGTGCTGGGGGTGGTCATCCTGGATTTCAGTGCTGATGCGACCGAGGGCCCCATCCGTGCCTACCTGCTGGACGTGGTGGACAGCGAGGAGCAGGACATGGCCCTCAACATCCACGCCTTCTCCGCCGGTGAGAGCACCCCCCCGCCCCTCCCCGACCCCAGCCCTCACCTCCTCCCAGACCTCACCCAGCTTGTCCCAGGCCGACCGGCACTGGGGGCTGGCGGGGGCGCTGTTCCCAAGGCCCCCCTCCCCACGTCGGGGTGGACTCGACGGCTGCCGTGCCTCTACGTCGCCCTGGTGGGCGAGGCGGTGGGCAGGCCGTGCTCGTCTCTCCGTGCGTCTGGGCACAGTTCACCTCCGTCGGGAACAGCGCTTTCCTGGGCATAAGGGATGGCAGTCAGTGCCGCCCAGGGTCGCAGGCAGCCATCTGCCTCCTTTCCTGGCAGATCCCTGCTTCTGCTTCCTCAGGCGGGAGTCCCTGAGGTGAAAACTCCTAACTTAGGGTCAGCTGTAGTTTCTTGTCTCGTTTTTCCTACTGTTTTCGTACTTTCCATCCCAAAAACTTGTGCTGACCAAGGGCATAGCGGTGTCCTTGGCCTGGGATTCAGGGTGAAGGACCTTCCAGGTCTTTCCTAGCTTCTCCTCTTCTTTTGGGGGTCTGCGCCAAGGCACCTACAGCGCTCACGGGCTGCCTCTGTCTCTCCCTCTGCGTAGGCCTCGGCGGGGCCATCGGCTATGTGCTGGGGGGGCTGGACTGGACCCAGACCTTCCTGGGCGCCTGGTTCCGGACGCAGAACCAGGTGCTCTTCTTCTTTGCGGCCATCATCTTCGTGGTGTCGGTGGCCCTGCACCTGTTCAGCATCGAGGAGGAGCAGTACAGCCCCCCCCAGGAGCGCGCCGGGGAGGCGGCCGACAGCCCGCCCCCCGCCCCCCGCCCCACCATGCTGGATGGCGGCAGCGCCTCGTTCCCGGCGGAGGTGCAGTCGGAGCACGAGCTGTCGCTGGACTACCTGGGCGTGGACATGGTGCGAAGCAAGAGCGACTCTGTGCTGCATGCGCCGGACGCGGCCCTGGACCTGGAGCCCGAGCTGCCCTTCCTTCCCGACATCGAGCCCTCCATCTTCCACGACGGCTCCTGCCCCAGCACCCCGCGCAGCACCAGCCAGGAGCTCACCTGGGCCAGGCCCTACCGCCTGGCCTCGGTGCTCAGGGAGCGCGTGAACGAGGACGAGACGCTGCTCGATAAGCACCTGGAAGAAGCCAGAGTCCCCAACGGAAGTGGCTCGCCCCCGAAGGACGGCCTTGGGGTCTACCCCAGGGTGGACATGAAACCCGTGGCCGCGTCCAGCTCCATGAGGCGGCGAAGGCACACGTTCCACCGGCAGGCCTCCAGCACCTTCTCCTACTACGGCAAGATCGGCTCCAACTGCTACCGCTACCGGCGGGCCAACGCCGTGGTCCTCATCAAGCCGTCGCGCAGCATGAGTGACCTGTACGACCTGCAGAAGCGGCAGCGGCAGCGGTGCCGCCACCGGAACCAGAGCGGGGCCACCACGTCCAGCGGCGACACGGAGAGCGAGGAGGGGGAGGGCGAGACCACGGTGCGGCTGCTCTGGCTGTCCATGCTCAAGATGCCCAGGGAGCTGACGCGGCTCTGCCTCTGCCACCTGCTCACCTGGTTCTCCGTCATCGCCGAGGCCGTCTTCTACACCGACTTCATGGGCCAGGTCATCTTCGAGGGGGACCCCAAGGTGAGTGCCCGGGGGTGCCCGCTTTGGGGCCGGGCGGGACGGTGACGTGGGCACCTGGCAGTGCCGACAGCCTGGTGCACCGCGCGGGGAGGCTTCTGCTGAGCTTGCGTGTGCTGCCCACTTGGGGCGGGGGGGGGGCAGGGTGGGCAGCTGGCCAGCGGGTGCTCCTGGGACCGGGCTTGGGGCCCACGACGGCTTCAGGGTCGGAGCCACTCGTGAAGCCTGAAGCGAGGCTCCGCTTCAACGCCCAGTGCTGTGCACAGACCTGCCCGGAGCGTGGTGGCTCGGAATAGGGACCCGCCGTTTCGTGCGTGGCCAGGACCCGTTCTGTTCCCTGCGGCATGGCTCCCACCTGCCTCGCCTGGAATCGGGCCGGATGGGCTCAGCGCAGGCTCAGCCTCCCCTCTACGTGGTCCCTCACCCTCTGGCTCCCGTGCAGGGCAGGCATGCAGCCGGGAGGGCCTGCGGGTCCTGCCCTGCGTACGGCCCCTTGCTATCGTGTTTATCACTGATTTTTAAAATCAACGGCTTGCCTGTGGTTGAGCTAGAAAGTAACGTCCTTTCTGTAAAGAGTGTGGCCCGCGGTTCCTGGCCGCCCTGAAGCCCAGTCTCTTTTCTGGAATAGGCCCCCTCCAACTCGACGGCCTGGCAGGCCTACAACGCCGGCGTGAAGATGGGATGCTGGGGCCTGGTTATTTAAGCGGCCACCGGTGCCATCTGCTCAGGTAAGCGATCCCTGGGCGGGGGCAGCGGTGTCGTTGTGCGGCCGAGGTCACAGTGGGGATGGAAGCGTGGAAACCTGTGTGTCTCGCATTGGGTGTCCTGACACCCCACGTGGGTGTCCTCCGTGTGCTGGGTCCTGCCCAGGGGATCCTCAGAGCGGGGCTGCCGCCAGGGCCAGGCTCCGGGCGATGGCGGGGCTGCAGGAGCCGTGCCCATGAGCCCGGGGGAGGGGGAGTGAGGTGTGTTTGGGGCCTGTGGCCGTGGGAGCAGTCTGCTGTGAAGCAGAGGCCTTTCCCTGGAGGTGCAGTTCTATCCTGGGGGAGGGAGGTGACAGGCTTCACTCCCGGGAGCAGCGTGCCCAGGCACTCCTGGAAATGGGCACAGTCAGGGTCGGGGGTCTCCTTAACCATGTCTGGTCTGGGTCCCGCCCATTCTCTGCACAAACCGTGGAGGAGGCCCCCAGCTTCCTCTCAGCCTGGCCTAGACTTGAGGATTTCCAAGGTCAAGGCCATGAGGCAGCCAGAAGCCAGCCTGACCAACACGCAGCACCGTCCGAGCTCAGACAGGAGTTCTCGGGAAGGAACAAGAGGTGCTTCCTGGGGGAGGTGCCGTTAAGCCGCTGGGTCAGGAGGAGTGAGCAGAAGCCTGTCCCTCTGGACCCAGACCTTTCCCGCGAGAGGCCAGCCACAACTTGAGACTCCTAATCAAGGCTAGGCGTGAGGCTGGCGAAGGCCAGCCCGTGGGTCTGGGGTGGTGGGAGGGGTCCGGGGCAGGAAGCGGCTACGGGCTCTGGGACCAGGGGGGTGGACTTTGTGCTGATGTGCCAGAGCCCCGAGAATTGAGGACGGCGCTCTGGGTGAGCCACGAGCATGTTGGGGGCCAGGTGGGCTGAGTGTGGTGGGAGGGGCCTTGGCGTGGAGGATGGCCCGGGAGGTGGGGGGAGTCGGGGGGGCACCCCGCTGCAGGCCTCGCTGCTCACTGTCCTGCGGCCCCACTGTCCCCACAGCCCTGTTGCAGAAGTGCCTGGACAACTACGAGCTGAGTGTCAGGGTCATCTACGTGCTGGGGACGCTGGGCTTCTCCATCGGCACAGCCGTGATGGCCATGTTCGCCAATGTTTACGTCTCCATGGTCATGATCAGCACCATGGGCATCGTCTCCATGAGCATCTCCTACTGCCCCTACGCCCTGCTCGGGCAGTACCACGACATCAAGGAGGTGCGTCGTGGCGGCGGGGGTGGGGTGTGGCGGAGGAGGCGCTGGGGCACCAGGTCACCAGCCTGAAGTGCACGTCTGGTCAGATCATCAGACCCGTTCGGCTCCAAAGCCCACGTTCGCTCTCGACTCCTCTCCAGGCAGAGCTCGCACTTTCCCCTTGGGAGACATTTGGGGTGCAGATGATCCCCCCTAGGTCTTTGGTTCTGAAGGGACCAGCAGAGCCGCCGCCGGTACGGGTCGGTCCAAGGCACAGGCTTCGTGGCTACAAAGGAAGGATCTGCTCCTTCAGTGGCCTGGCTGCCTGCCCCCGATATCCCTCACGGACCCTGTGGAAGGGAGCTGGGCCAGCACATCCGGCCAATAGAGCGCGAGCCGCCTGGGTTGCCTGCACTTTGAGAGGAACGTGGGTAGGTAGCACCGCGTGTGTGCCTCAGGCGGTCCCTGCAAACAGCATTGTTGCCGGGTGCGCACGGCACCTCTTGCTCCAGCCCGGCCCGAATGTGCAGAGGCCTCGTGCAGGTGTAGACCCTGCCTCTGAAAGTGAAGGAAGAAACACCAAACAGTTCCGGTTTCTCTGTAAACCTAAACTGTGTTTAATCTTCCTTGGACAATTGTAAAAACAAAATTAATCCACTGCGGTTAGGTGCCTGCCAAATACCAAACTAATGAAAATCTAAATCACAGCGTTCTTTGTTAAATAAGCTTTTTAGTCCGAGTGTACCATGACTGCAGAAGAGTACACACTAAGCGAACGGCTCAGTGGAGGGTTGGAAAACAAGTCTGAGAAAGCAGTGCTGACGCGGAAGCCATGGAAAGCTGGCCCTCGTTCTGGCCGCCAGCACCAGGCAGCCCCCTCGCCGGTGTTTGCACTTATTGTGCGTGGAACGTCTGTCCGTCTGCTGTTGCTTCACGCCTGTGCTTCCCTCCTGTGCTCGCAGAGGGCGGCACCGTGTGGCCGTGGGCCATTGCTCCATTGTGCCGGCGGTGGCACGGGGTGGCGCCTGTCCTGTGTGCGCCCGCGGTCCGCCTGGGGGACAGTGCACGCGCGTGTGGTTTGAGGGAGGAGTGTGACTTTGTTCTCCTGCGGACGGGTAGCTGTGGGACACGGGGCCGCTTCACGTTGAGGGTCACGTGGTCCCCGCCCGCGCTGGTGCCATCCTTGTGCTTAGTTGGGTCCCCATCTGCGGGGATGGCGTTTCTGGTCCCCGTTTCTCTCCCATCTTCCATCAGTCGGTCTGTCCTCACACGAGGCTTATGCTCTTGTAAGTAGTTCTGTGGAAGGACCCAGGCCAGTGGGTCCTCCGGCTTCGTTCTTCCTGAAGGTTCTGGGCACTCTGGACCCTGCACTTTCCATGTAAATGGTAGAATCAGCTTCTGGGCTTTGTAATTGGAACCACATTGATTGTATAGATAATTTGGGGAGAGTTGAAAACATGGCAGTGTTGAGCCTTTCTGTCCACAGATATGGTATATTCTTCTGGTAATTCTTAGGGCAAATCGATAGATCCTTTTGGTCTTCGTACCCAGTCACGTCATCCGTGTATAATGAGATTTATTTTTTTCGTTCCAGTCCTTAATACGTTTTATTTATTTTCCTTGCCTTACTGCAATGGCCAGAACCTCCAATGCAAAGTTGAATAGAAGTGGGACGGGGTCGGGAGACAGGCTGAGTGGTTGCTGAGAGAAAGGCAAGTTGTGTTTCCAGACTTCTGAGCTACTATTCAATCCACGGGAATGTCGGCCGCCGCTCTGGCACCCGCGGCCCCCACTCGCTCTGGCGCCCCGCGGCCCTCACTCTCGCTCTCCTCTCTTGCAGTATGTCCGCCACAGTCCCGGGAGCTCCAGGCGCGGCTTCGGGATCGACTGTGCCATCCTCTCCTGCCAGGTGTACATCTCCCAGATCCTGGTGGCGTCTGCCCTCGGGGGTGTGGTCGACGCTGTCGGCACCGTGCGCGTCATCCCCATGGTGGCCTCCGTGGGCTCTTTCTTGGGCTTCCTGACAGCCACGTTCCTGGTGATCTACCCAGATGTGTCGGAAGAGGCCAAGGAAGAGCAGAAGGGCCTGTCTTCCCAGCCTTCGGGCGAAAGCGGGGGCGGCGGCGAGAAGCCCACCGTCCTGAGGCTGACCCGGAAGGAGGGCCAGCCGAGGAAGCTAGAGACAGAGTCGATGGTCTGAGCCTCACCCCTGCGTGCACACATTCCAGGGGGGCGGCCGGCGGGTCGGTCGCTGTTGCCTCTGTGGCCGCGGGCGGAGACGCGGTAGTTGTAGGGGGAGGGGTGAGCCGCGCCGCAGAAACAACACACCAATTACTTTGTCCGCAATTAAAAAAAATCATTTGAAATCTTTTTTTTTTAAAATTGAAAAAGATCTTGTAATTTCAACTCTTTTATTCTGCAGGTATATTATTCTGCATGTTTTTAAATTACAAACCAGATTTACGATAGAGACAAACAATTTGGAGAAAAATAAGACTTTTCATTTCTGAGGTTATAACGGAAAACGGAAATCTCTGCTGTCCTCTGCTGCTTGTTGTCTTGCGTACGTCAGACGACAGTGCTGGGGTCCGTGCCTGAGCGTCGCCCGCGTCCTCTCCGGCGCCGCGGGTACTTGGGCTTTCTGTCGGGTTCTCCGTCAGGTCTCCCGTTTTGTCGGTGCTGCAGCTATTGGAGAGTATTTTTCTTTATGATTCTTTTAGAAGAAACGTTTTTCTTTCAAAACTGGTTTTCTTAGGAGAGACAGCATTTCCTGTTTTCCTCAGAGATTCTGACAGACGGCGCGGGGAGCAGCCCTGCCTCTGGGCAGCGGGGGACGGCGGCTGCCCCCCACCCGCGCTGGGGAGGAAGGGGTGACCTGGGGGGGCGGGTCCCAGGCAGGTGCGCACACGTGTCTGTGCCCGGCCCTTGCCCCCCCCCCCCCGGCTCCCCGACCCCGTCGTCTTTGTCCGAAGCCCCCCAGGGACTCTCTTCATTGCACTTTGACTCGTGTTTAAACCATTTGTTGGGGAAATCATGAGGGCAGAGCTCCAGGCGTGGCCTCGCCGCCTGGGACCTGCCGCCAGGCCTACCTCGGGTGTGTGGGACAGTGGCCCCGGTGCGGGCGGGTCCTGCTGGGCCTCCTCTGACCTCCTCTGACCTCTTCGCCTGCTCACCCCCCTTCACGCTGGGATCCGAAGGGTTGCCAGGTGTCCGGGATGGAAGGAAGGCCCCCCCGGCCCTGGCCCCCCGGAAGGACGCTGCGCCGTCCCTGCTTTCCGCGTGTGAGCCCGACGTGGACTTTGGGGGAAGTTCGGTCATCAAATGCTGCAGCTACTCGGAAATGCTTTTCAAACCACAGTCTCTTCATACCTGAGCAGTCTCTGCTCCTCTTACTTGGAATGGTCCGTCTCCGCTTCCTGATGTCACCTGGACTCAGACAACGGTAATACTTCTCTGCCTCAAGTTGTTTTTTTAAATAAAGAACTTTAAGATGCATGAAAAATCATGCTGCAATATGATCATTCTAAAGCAAATATATATCTATATATATATTTCAAGATGAGACTAAGCAGTTTTTAAATAAATTACTTGAATTTTCTGTGTATTCAGAGGAGCGGCTGTTTAGTGTACTTGGCAGGCCCTTGGTCGCACTGAGTCTCCCGGCCGCTGGTGGCGCGTGCGGGCCGCGTTTTGTGTCTGTGGAGCCGTGGTGCCTGTCCGCGTGGGTCCCCTTCCACACAGGAGCCCGGGACCTCAGAGAACCGACACCACGATGCGAGCGTTTTCTCTGTGTTCAGACTCTTTGGCCTTGTGAGCGTTGAGCTCAGACGGGGAAAGTCCGTCCTGCTGCTGGAAGGTGCTGGCGTCGACGCCAAGCACCCGCCACTCGCGTGAGCCCGGCCGGGCACCCTTGGCAGGGCCCTGTTCGCAGCCCCACCCGTCCCCTGACGGCTCTGTGACTGTGGGTCCTCCAGCTTTGGACTCGGGGTCCGTGGCCGTGTCCTCCAGGACTCAGCCTCCTTTCTCCTCAGGGGTCTGCTGACAGCCAGAAAAGTGGGCGGCGGGGGAGTGGAGGATACGGGGGGGGGGTGACCCCGAACCGAGATCTGGGGTGAGCCAAACACATGCCGCGCCCCCCCGAGCAGCCCGCCTTCGCCCGTGGCCGGTGCTCACCGACAGCTGGACGCGACGGGCCTGGCGGGGACTTGGTTTTTAGGCACGGGGGCCTGAGGGTGGGACCGCGGTCGAGAAAGCGGGTTAACCCTGGAGAGGTCGGCCTCGCGCTTCCGCACGATCCGAGAGAGAAGACCCGAAGGAACACTTAGTTGAAGTCCCTGTTGGAAGCGCAGCAGAGCACCCTTCACGGCGAAAGCACGGGGCGCCCCTGCATGCGGAAGGAAGTGGTTGTGCTTCGGCAGAGTTTTAAAGGTTTTGAAGCCCTGCGGGTATTTGTCACCAGCGTGTCTTACTCCCTGGGTCTGGTCAGGGCACAGAGGGGCGTGCCTTGTGATTTGGATCAGCAGCCCTTGCTGGGCCCTCGCTCTGGGTGTGAGCAGGGGTGTGCTCCCGCCCTCCCTTGAGAGCTGATTTCAGGATCACAGGGACTCGGAGTCCTGAGTATCTTCACCTGTGCCTCCACACAAGCTGAGAAGACGGGCGGGCCGTGTGGCCGTGTGGCACCATGTGGCCGTGTGTACCGTGTGGCTGGCTTGCCGCCCGGGGCCTGTGTCTTGTAATGCCGGATGTCCCTCAGCCGGACACAGTGGGGACCCAGGAGGGCTGCCCCCGGGCAGTGCATCTGCCTGGTGATGTGGCGGGTTCTGTGTCTGGTGGTCGGACAGGCTGGCGAGCGCCCGCTGGGTGGGCCGCGGGTGTGGATGCCGGGGACCGGTGCCGGCCTCGTGGCGGGCACAGGACACTGGGCTCGGGGTACAGTCAAAGGGGTCCGGTTCAGTGCCTGCTGTGTGGTGCAGACGGGCGTGTTGCCTGTGGAAGTCAGCTCAGCAAAGGGTCTCGCCGGGAAGTGACCCCAGCACCCGCAGCTGGGGTGTGAACCGCCCCTGCACCCTCCATCCCTGCTCTGTTGGCACAGGGCTTTTGTGACCTTCTGGGTGGCTGAAGGGCCCAGCATGCCAGCCGCTGTCCGCTCCTCTCAGACACCTGCCCTTGAAGGTCCTGGAGCCTCCGAGGGCCACGCCAGGAAGTGGGGAAACCATGTCCCCTGGAGGCGGGCGGTCAGGACGGCCAGACCCTCGTTAGAGGCTCAGGCTCCACAGCGCTCAGGTCCCTCTCTGAAAGGTCCAGCATGTGGGGGACGCAGCTCTCTGGCCCCCAAATCCCCAAAGTGGAAGTTCATGCCGTAGGGAGGGCACTCTCTCTCCAGCCTCCCCGGGCCACACGGTCCCGCCTGGTAGCCTGTGATGTTTAGGTGGCACGTTTGGAAAATACTTCACAGGGTACCGACTGCTCCTTCTGTGTCTAACGGTTCATGCCGCAGCCAGGACGGTGACACCTGTCACAGACCACAGCTGTTCCCACTAGACACCAACCTTGGGACGCTCCTTCCCCCGGGCCGCAGGGCGCCTCCCCAGCTCCTGTCCACCTTCCGGGAGCAGGCGCCGTGCAGCCAGCCCTCTCGGGGCGGCGTCGCTGCCGTCAGGCCCGTGGCGTTTCTGCAGGTGCTGCTGTAGAGACAGGCCATCCACCGTCCTGCCTGCTTCCGGGCCTGGGGGGGGGTCGGGGAGCTGCCCTGACAGCCCCCTCCCTGGGCACTCCAGCCCGCAGGGGACTCGGCCCAGCACCCACAGGGAGTGGTGTCGACTGAGCACAGCCCTGGATACACGTCACATTACCGCCTCACAGGAAGCCAGCTGCCACCTTCCCGGCCCCCCACCCCCACCCCAGCCTGGCGACAGGGACCTCCCAGAGGACCCCCCACCTGCCGAGTCCCCTTGCCCTCCACGTGCTGCGGACCGAGACTGTCTCTTGGTGGCAGAAGTATCTGCTTGTCGGAAATGCCACTTGTTACCCGAGGGACTCCCCAGGCGTCTCGGAGCCAAACTATTTAGTTCCATTGTGAACTGGCCACAGGACACCTTTTCTTTATCAACTTACTGAGTTGGCGATAGAAGTGTGTGTTAAACACATGTTTTATGAGGAAAGGGGATTATAAAGAAGAGTGTCACACCGTAACTTCCCGTCAGGCGGTCCCACTGGCCCGGTGGCCGTGTGTCAGTGCGCAGCCTCTGGCTCCGGGCTTGTTCTCAGGTATTTACTCGGCCTGCACGGTCGCTTCACTTCTGTCGTGCACACGGTTCCTCGCCTCCTCCTGGCCCCCATGTCTGTTTTGCTGTCACTCTGTGGTTAAATCTTAATAAACCTTTCCCAATCAGGTGACTGTGTGGGTGTGTCTGTGTCACTTCCCCAGGGCCCCTCCCTGTGCCTTCCTGTGTCTGTGCTGGGGACCCAGGGCTGCCCCTGCTCACCCCCCAGCCTGGGTGGTCTGATGGGGGGGGCGGGCAGAGAGCTCCGAGCGTGCTGGTGAGTGTGCACTAAGTACGGGCCCATGAAGTCTCCAGAGACCCCGCCCCGTTTGCAAACCCGGGGGCGCATGTTGGACCCCACCCCCTCCCCTGCAGGGGCCTCGCTCAGCCCCAGCAAGTCCAGTCCCACTCCCTCTGCCAGAGGTGAGGAGGTCTGGGCTCTGCCTGCCTCCCGGCCCCGGTGAGGGCTATGGCCGAGGCGGCCGGGGAGGACATCCACCCAGCATGCTGGATGTGCTTGTGACCCGTCACTCGCCCTGTCAGGGGCCACCCAGGGCTGGGGCCCCAGGCCAGTGTGGCCACAGGTCTGGCAGGCACCTCCAGCCGCACAGGTAAGCAGCCAGGCCGCTAGGCTGGGGTGCCTGCACCCCAGGCTGGGTGGGGCCCTGGTTTGCAGAAGCTGCTGACAGCCCTGCGCTGCCCCAGAGGAAATGGAGGGGGTTGGGGTTTGCCCAAGGCCCAAGGTCTCTGAGCCCTGGACCACAAGTTGGTTTGTTCAAAGGCTCCACGGCAGGGGTGGGGCGCGGGGGAGGAGGCTCCGGGCAGGGCTGGGGGGAGAGGGGCGGGACTGGCGGGAGGAGGGCGGGGTTTGGGAGAGGGGCTGGGGGCAGAGGGGCGGGACTGGGGGGGCTGGGGAAAGGTGGGCGGGGATGGGGAG